AGATGGGCGCCTCCGTCCCCCTCAGCAGAGAGTCTCCGACCACCACTCTCAAAACTCTCCTCCACAGCCACTGCTGCCATGGATCCTAAAGGAAATACTAGTGCCAAATGGCTATATAAATGCTCGCTAGGCATTTTGGATATTTATCCTTTTAATTTTACCTTGTAATTTATATATTTCAAATGACTCAATCATTTAGCTATGTGCTTAGCTGGCCTATTTAAATCTGTGTAACTATTCCTCTTTCCCTTGTCCTCCCTTTTTAATTTGTTTACCATTTTAGACTATAAATAAACTGAAATTTTGAATTAAAAAGTTGTTTTGAACTCTAAAATGGAACATTTCATTTAAAAAATGTTGAAACTGGATGTTTTTTGACAATTTCCAAAATGTTGTTTGAATCAGGAAATTCATAGACGCCGACCCTTCTCCACAAACAGTTTTGATGTCAATGAAATTGCAGTTTCTGATGAATATTTTGTCAAATTCCTGACCAGCTCTAACTGTAAACTCTTCAGAGCAGGGACGGTGTCTTCCAATGCGTTTGCACTATACTAAGCACAATGGAGTCCTCAGTCTAATTGGGCCCTCAGAGTGCTACAGGAATTGAAATAATAAATAAATGATAATGGCATAAGCAAGGGAAACTCTTATTTGTGAAAAGGATGCATTAAGTCACAGTTTCACCAATTTCCCTCCCTCCCATAAGAACAGCCAGACTGTGTCAGACCGAAGGTCCATCTAGCCCAGTATGCTGTCTCCCAACAGTGGCCAATGCCCGATGCCCCAGAGGGAATCAACAGAACAAGGAATCATCAAGTGATCCATCCCCTGTCGCCCATTCCCAGCTTCTGGCAAACAGAGGCTAGGGACACCATCCCTGTCCATCCTGGCTAATAGCCATTGATGGACCTGTCCTCCATGAACTTACCTAGTTCCTTTTACTGTGTGTTGAGTGAAGAAATATTTCTTTCATTCATTTTAAACCTGCTGCCTATTAATTTCATTTGGTGACCTCTAGTTCTTTTGTTATGAGAAGGAGTTAATAACACTTCCTTATTCACTTTCTCCACACAGTCATGATTTTATAGACCTCTATCATATCCCCCTTAGTTGTCTCTTTTCAGCTTGGAAAAGCCCCAGTTTGATTGATCTCTTCTCATATGGAAGCCGTTCCATATCCCTAATAATTTTTGTTGCCCTTTTCTGAACTTTTTCCAATTCAAATATCCTTTTTGAGATGGGGCGACCACATCTGCACACAGTATTCAAGATGTGGGCGGACCATAGATTTATATAGAGGCAATATGATATTTTCTGTCTTATTATCTATCCCGTTCTTAATGATTCCCAACATTCTGTTTGCTTTTTTGACGGCCGCTGCACATTGAGTGGATGTTTTCAGAGAACTATCCACAATGACGCCAATATCACTTTCTTGAGTGGTAGCAGCTAATTTAGACCACCACTGAAAACACCCTTTTGGAAGCAGTTTCATCTTCTTTTTTTATTCTTTTTTTACCTCTGTTTTTTGTACATTATTTTTATTGAAAACTTTATTTTAAATAATTCAATAAAGCTACACAATCGAGGTGAAACTTCACAAACAGTCACTAATAAAAACACTCCAACTAATGTAAATATATTTAAAAAAGAGAAAACAGGAACGTAAAAAGTGCAGCAAGCGCTGGAGAGTGTTAGAGAGGTGCTGCCTCCTGCATTATGGGGACATTCTATATCACTACAATATATGTTCAGACTCCACAAGACTGGGTTTATGCTGTTTCAATTTAAAAGGGAGCATTGTCCTTCATCTCCCAGACAATAAACGTGTTTGAGTTGAATCTGAGCTCTCGTTTCTGTAGAAAGTGGGGCTGACAGCCTGGCTGTCTTGGTTCAACAATAACAAAGACTGCAGATCCTATAGGTTTACTCTGCCTTAACTCCCCCGCCTCGCCCCCCAGGTTCAGGTGTTTAACAGCACAGATAGCTCTGGTGAATCACTCTGGTACAGAGCCAGGAGAGGAAATACAAAGTTGAAGAAGCCCCACAAAAATAGTAGCATCCCTCTGGGAAAGGTGTGTATGCTAGAGACAGTAACAGTCTTGAGGTTTACAGATCCAGTTGGTACCACTGAAAACTCACCACGTGACATTCTGCGGTGATTGTGGTGCTGCGCGGTCCCCTATTGTAAGTCAAGAAAGAGAACACCGTTATTCCAGGTACCTCATGTGGTGCACGTTCAGGTTTAAAAGGCACACAGTGCGGATCAAACTAGGTCAAATCAGCTTCAGTATTTTCCTAAAGAAGCAGTACCTTTGACAGACTGTAGTAGAGGGTCAAGACCTAGGGCCAGGTTAACCGAAGTACTTTGGCACCGAAAAATGCTGTCAATGCGAGTTAAGGACCTAACTTGCTTAGGAGCGTGTGAAAATCCCACTATGCATGTCTGTCTGCATCTCTGGGCAACTAAATACCTTTGCAAATCTGCCCCTAGGGTACTGAGAGAGAGTTTCTTATAATATTTGTTTTGGTTATGAAGAATTTTTGGTGTATAGCCACTTATTCTGCCGGGCCTACAGAGATGGCAACATGCCCAAATAGGTTTGAGAGCTAGAGGAAGAACCAACAATCTTAGCATCTCCTCTTCAGCAACCGTGCCACAAATCATCTTAACCACCTGCACATGTTTACAGGTGGGAAGAAAAGAATTAAAAACAGAGAAATATTGATTGAAACATCTGTTTTCTGTATTCTAAATGGTACTTTGAGTCCCTTGAGGAATGCAGAACAGGGGTTGGTTTTCAAACAACAGTAAATGATCAGGACAACCTAAAATTGCCTCTGCATTTCTCCATTTAATTCACAGTGAGCTCTTCTGCATTAGCTGTCTGTTAATGAATCCTAAAACACAATAGATGGCAATGGGAGGCCAAATGAGTTCTTGGTAGGTAACATGTAAACACCACGGTTGCTGCCACATTTCACTGACTTGGCTTAGCAAATCTCTTTTGACCCAATTCTCTCTCCTTGTTCATTCTCCCCCTGTTGCTTAGCAACAGATGCAGTAGGTTTGAAAAGGCTAGAACATAGACCTCCAGCAGGAATTGCCATATTTTCAGACACCACTTTTTTTTTTTTTTTTTTTCTGGTGAGGCCAGACATTTGTAACGGTTATGGTGAGTAATCACCCTTGTCATGGTCGTATATGAGCATTCAAATTGCTTTATCATATCACATGCCCAATAAATGAGCAGGGCTTTTGTTACAAGATCTCTCTATCCACTGTGTCCCTGTAGCTTTTGAGTTCTCTCGCTTCCTCTGTGTGTTGTGCAGGTCACCTGCTTATTTAGGTTTTAGGATAACTGAGATTTTTTTTTTTCTCAGCATCAGATCAGTTGTGAAGATTCAACTGAGAACGAAGCTGCCTTTTTGAAGGAGATTTCTTTAGTTCCCTGCCTGGGGCATGTTGTAGCTCTTAAATACCAACTTCATTAGAGCGGCTGTGTCCCATCCCTTCCTCCCACACACAACCAGTATTATATCATCTCCCTGACTATTGTTTTGTGCATTAGTACACTGTTGCTTTGCTAGTGACACTAATAAAGTCTCAAACAAAATTAAGTTAATGGCCTCCGTTTGAGTCTTGCTTGGCGAGGAGAGGGGAATGGAGAGAGTTCTTTGTTGTTTAACAGAAGTTTGAACCTCTGACTGATACACTATAATCAAGTCACTAAGCTGCATGTAGTATCCACTAGCAGTCCCTGACAGTGGTCAGAGTCCTCAGAGTTTTATGGCTACATTGTAGCAGAAGGCCTTCAAAAACTCTCTGTAGCCCAATTCCTGTTGAGTACTTAAATTTTATTTGCATCTCACATCCTTCACCATCAGCTGCCAATGTGAATGAACATCTATCAGACGAATACCACTAAAAGAATATCATAGAACGGTCAGTCATGCTGTAAAACCATGCACTCTAGACTCTTTGATTCAGTGGCTGGTCACCCATCTGTACTTGCTTGTCTTGTTCACAGTGAGTGCCATAACTCCTCGGATCGGATCAAAGTGCGCGTCTGGGATGAGGATGATGACATTAAGTCTCGTGTCAAGCAGAGGCTGAAACGTGAGTCGGACGATTTCTTGGGGCAGACCATCATCGAAGTCCGCACACTGAGTGGAGAGATGGATGTATGGTACAATCTTGGTGAGTAGCTTTTCAGTCCTCTAATTTAGATTACAATCCTTGGTTTTGCTTAAAAATGTATGGAACTTTCCTTACTAAATGAGGCCTGTTTGGGTTAGTAGCTATCATAATCCTATGTGTGCATTAGTGTAATTTCCAAAGAACGTGTGACTTTGAGAAGGTGTGGGGGTGTGCTGTCGGGAGGGCTATCAGGCGATGGTCTTCCCAGTGAAAAATGTGGGACAATACTTGCTCTTTGGAGAATCATAAAGGCGCAGAGTGTTTTCTCTTTGCAAACGTTTTTAATCACTAGAGCTGGGTGACATTTTTTCCATGAATAGTAGATTTGCTAAAAAATATAGTTTTGGTTGACCCGAAACTATTCGTGAATTTGACACAAATTTGCCAAGTAGTTTTGGCCACACACGTTTTTTGAGATGTAGGGGGGCCATTCACAAAATGGGGAAAGAGGAGGAGGTGGTGATGGTTTCTCCCCCCTCGCCTCCCGACTGTAAGTGGGTGAGTTGTAACTGAGCAGTGACCGTATGTGTGCATGGGGATGGGAAATAATTTTGAAGATTTACCAACTGCCTTCATCCTAATGCTGCCTCTCACAGGGTCCCAAATGTGTGTTTCTGGGAGTGGGAGCAGTGTCTCCAGAGTGGCTGAAGGAGAAGCTGCTTTTAAAGAATTGAGTTTGCAGATGGAGTAGGGACAAACTTTGACATCTGTACTGGGCTGACATTTTCCTCTGGCCTCCCCAGTTGGCCCAGTGATTACTATTCTGTACAGCTGTGTGGGAGATGTAGGTTCAGTTTTTGTTCTTAGACTCTCTTCTGTTCTGCCTGGGCTGAGAATGGAGGAGAGAGTTCTTTATGTTGCTTAACAGAAGTAAGAGGGCTTTGGGGATGGCAGATTGACTGACTGGGGAATGGGATATGGCATCTTTCACTTGTGGGTCATCAGTTCAAATCTGCCCCCAAATGATAGATAACTGAAAGTTTTAAGCATTAGAGAACTGTTCACTGGCCTATAAGAAATAAAGTATTGAATTTCAGTCCACTTCTTAGCAGACACAGGTGGTCCTCAGTTGGAATTAATTTGTTTGTTGGATGCTTACTCAGAGAAACCAGCGTCTGAACTCCTCTCTCATCCTTTGAGGTGCTCCTTGTGGGGTACGAGTTGCCAGGGCCTATGCTGTACCTACATTGTGAATAAACAGGCTTTCAATCTCAAGGGCTGTTAGATGAGCACATTTCACCAAGAGTTTGGTTTATAGTTTATAAAAAAAAAAAAGTGAGACGCAGGAAAGTGGGGAATCTTGAAGACTCATGTGAGGACACAGAGGACATCTTAGTGGAGGATGTTTCTCCTCATAGCAAGAAAAGTTAAGTAAAGCTCAGAGGAGTTAGTAACCTATTAAAGATGCTGCTCCCTTGCAGAGTGTTGGAAAAGGCACGAAGGACCAGCAGAGAAGAATTCTGAGATCCAGACTGGCAAAAATAAGATGGCCATACCCCAGACATTGTGGATTCCCACTGTTCCTCATTTTAGTGGTCAATTAATTGAGCAGGATCGGGAGGTGAGGGTTCATTCCAAAAAGATCTGTAGGTGGAATGAAATAGTTCGTTCTGTTAAGTCTGTATGAAAGGATCCTTCAGTGAATTCTGACCAGAGTAATTTAAAGACAGTGTAGTCAATTCCACTCTCAAAGTCCCACTGGTTGTCAATGTGCAAAGAAACTCAGCACTGGATAGTCTCAATAATCCTAACCCTCAGCGCTTTAGTCATCTGTAATGGGAATTTGGTTTTTGATTTTTTGATTAGCCCAGATTAGGGATGCAGGCAGGTATATTTTATAGATTTCTGAAGTTATAACAGACTTTATTTACTGCACTACAAAGGAGCATTCATTTTTGAAATTGTTGCCGGGGTTGATGGGCAGCCTGTGTGGGTCACTAGGATTGTGGAGAAGTGGGTTTAAAGTCTGGAAACTTGGACCTGAGGCATGTTACCTTCTGTTGTACCCTGGCCACGTTAATGGAAGTGATGAAGATGGGAATCAGTGGGTATAATGTCCTCACATCCTAGAGCAGTATGTGCTTACATGGTGGAAGCATTTAACACCTCTATTTTTAGCATTGTTAACTGTTTTTCTTGTGCAGCAATAATTGAGGAACATTCAAATTTTGTGTAGAGGAAAATGCTCTGTTAGACACATCTGTTCTGTTGCAAAGCTCTAGACATATGTTTGAATTTGGGACAGGCTTGACTGCCAGCAAACATTTCTAATGCTCTGCTAAATTGTAGTTGGTAGCTTTTAGTCCTTTCCTGCCACAGCATCGGAGATGTGCTGACAGAGGAGTGGCTTACAATTCATTTCACTGTGTTCCAAGGCTTGAAGAGGCGGCAACTCCTTCTTGTTCCATGAGTTCACTACTCCTGTCGTTACTGTAGAATTGTAGGGTTAGACGGGACTGCAAGGGTCATCTAGTCTACCCCCCTGCCAATCTGCAGGATTTGTTGTGTCCAAGACAGCTGGCTGTCCAGACTCTTTATAAAAACCTCCAGTGAAGGAGATTCCACAACTTCCTGAGGCAGTTTATTCTATTGTTCTACTGTTCTTACCGTTAGGAAGTGTATCCTGAGATTTAATCTAAATCTGCTGTGCTGTAGTTTGAACCCATTGCCTCTTGTCCTGCCCCCCATGGCAAGAGAGAACAACTTTTCTCCATCTTTTTTATAGCGGCCTTTCAAGTATTTGAAGACAGATCTCATGTCTCCCCTTAATCTCCTCTTTTCCAAACTAAACATATCCAGTTCTTTCAGCCTTTGCTCGTATGGCTTGAATTCCATCCCTCTGATCATCCTTGTCACTTGCCTCTCGATCCTTTCCAGTTTCTCTACATCCTTTCTCTCTCTACATTGGTGACCAAAATTGGACACAGTTCTCCAGCTGAGGCCTAATCAGCGTTGAGTGGAGTGGTACGATCACCTCCTGTGACTTGCACGCTATGCCTCTGTTGGTGCAACCCAAAATTGCATTTGCTTTTTTCGCAACAGCATCGCGTTGTTGACTCATGTAGTAGTAAAGGAGGTTGTGCTGCAAAGTAATTTAAGGTAGAAAACATTTTGGGTGATAAGAATGAGACTTTTAAATGTGTTTTCTTGATTAATTTCTTTAAAGACATTTTCATCGTAAGAGTGTTGTCCAGAGAGCAGGTGTTGACCAGGAGCGTCTAGACTTCGCCCAAATGGGGATAGTATGCAAGTAGCCGGATAGCTAATAAATTAGAAATAAATTGGCCTGGATTATCATAGAATCATAGAATATCAGGGTAGGAAGGGACCTCAGGGGGTATCTAGTCCAACCCCCTGCTCAAAGCAGGTCCAACCCCAACTAAATCATCCCAACCAGGGCTTTGTCAAGCCTGACCTTAATTATGGTAGTCTCCAACACAAAACCACCACTGTCCCTCTGTGCCTGGAAGGCCAAGGCATAGAATTCCACAGGGTGCTGCAGACCTGTTTAAGGGCCTGCACTGGTATAACAAGGGCTTTAGCATGTGATCGAGGTACATGAGTTGAGCTATTGTCTTAATCCAACTGAAGTGAAGGTAAAATGTTCTGAAGTGCTCAAGTCCCCTTTTCAGAAGTGACTTAGGAACCTAAGTCAATGAGACTGAAGACATGTCTAACAGCAGTATCTGAGTTTGCACTAGGGAACCTTTTAGTGTGCATCTGCAGGGTTCACATGGGCAGTTAGTGCATGGCACGTTGGGACGTTGTAGATTTACACCCCAACTTGCCACAGAGTTAGTGTTCATTTAGTAGACATGCTCTTTGATGCCTACATGTCTAAATCAGCTTTGAAAATGGGTTGTAGTCTCCTAAATCACAGTTGCTTTTGAAAGTTTAACCCTTAGTCCCTTAATTTCATGATCACTAAATTCATTCTCAGATTCACATGCCCTCAAAAATGAAGGGTTTCAGCATGTTCTTTGGCTTTTCTAACCTGCACGTTAGTTGAGTGACTGTGCTGTGCCAGTGGAGCTGAAGGACTGGGTTGTACTTTTTTTTTTTTAAAGTGTTGAATTGTGCATCTCTGAAATATGCAGTTGTGTATGAAACAGCACAAATATGTCATGGCACCTGTGTTCATTTGGTAAATGCAAATTTACACTAACACGTCGAAAAATATGATATTGAAGGGTCATATTTCACTTCAAAGTCAGCCCGGACTTCCACGTATGTTTTTCTTTTACCGCATTGTGCTGCTATTGCCATGATGGCTCTTTCCTGTACAAAGAAACATATTTTTAACTTACTACTTATATTTCTTTCTAGAGAAAAGAACAGATAAATCTGCTGTATCTGGTGCTATACGCTTGCAAATCAATGTGGAAATAAAAGGAGAAGAGAAGGTGGCTCCGTATCATATTCAGTACACATGCCTTCATGAAGTAAGTAAGCCAAAGGTGGATAGTGCTAGGAGCTGTGCATTCTCTGTCCTAACCCCCTGGCTGGGTAATGTTGCATGTATCCTGTGGCGTCTTCCCCATGAACTCTCTCAGCCTGTTTATATAAAGACCATAGTCTGTCCAGCTGTAACTATAAGCCTTTTTAAGCACATTAAGATGTGGCTAGCACTGCCTGTTTTAAGAAAGCTACTAAAGCTTTGCCCACGTACAAGGTAGGATATCTCGTCTTGGCTGGGTTGTGAATAAATTATGTTAATTGTCTTCTGAACTATTTTAGGGTAGCACTCTTTGGGGTGAAGCCCCTCTATTTATCCACTGAACAGGCAGAGTGCAGGCATTGGCAGTATAAATTTCCCCCACACTGCTGCACTGCTTTACTACTAGGGACCATTAGGGAATAGAGGATAATCCAGTGTCCATGGCTGTTCAATCCTTGGTCTCTCTTGAGGTGAGCAAAAGTGGGCCAAGTACCTCTGGGAGGTGGAAGATTAAGGATAAAGAGGTGTCAACTAAATGTAATGGGCCGCCAAGCAGGTGTTACGATCAGATCGATCAGATCCTTGCTTTTTAGTTCAGTGGCAAATCTGTTTCTCTAATTGTCTGGGTTTTTTTTTCCCTTCTGAATATGCAGGGTCATTCCCTTCCTCTTTTTAAAAGATCATTTCTTTCCTTCTTTTATCCAGTGATTCTGTATATCACAGACAAAACTCAGATGCTTTGCAGCTAAAATAATTAGATCAGGAGAAATCCTAGGTTAAAGCAAAAAGTCCTGTGGCTCCTAATTAGATCATGAGATTTTTCATCACTTGATTTACACACGAAGGAGGCGAATGTCCTGAAGGCTTATGTATCTGTCTGTGATGTGAGTTGAGGAACACTGAGAAATATCTGCTGAACTGAGTGTGTGTTGATCACTGTACAGCAGCAGTGGATGAAAGCCTTTCCAGTGTAACTAGACGAGGCTGAAAGTTGGGATGAAAAAGGATGCGTAACTGATTCTTTTCTAAGTCCCAGTCAGTGGGGATATCGTTAGAAATATCCCTTTTCCCAAAGATCGTAATGATCAGAATGTTTGGCAAATAATGAATGCCTGGGAAAGGACCGTTACATTAGTTTAAACAGTTTGTCCGTTTTAAGTGATTTTTATCTCCCCTACAGAGCCTTTTAAGTTTCAGGAGACTAATCAGGTTGAGATTTTGCTGGAGCAAGAAAATACTTTCTTGCATCTTTTATGAAGTCCTTTCTTCAAGAGAACTTTCATTGCAGCCAGAGGGAATTCCCTCGGAGTAAAAGTTGCACAGTTTGGCCCACTGAGGAGGGAGCTGCTTTTTCCCCCAAGTACCTTGCAATCTAATTAAATTACAAATGTAAAGTGGAGTGTTAAACCTTCGAAGGCTTTGTTCTGCACCTTGTTTAGGCAATGTCATCGCTTGTTCTTCGTGTGGCTGTTCTTAGCTTGAAACATTGGAGGGTAAAGGCTTGTGTCTGCGTAGTGAAGTTTGTTGTGCCAGAATGATTGCGGAAGCTGTAGAATCATGGTGACATGACTGGCTAGCTTTCCATTCTGAGCACCTCAGACCACGGGGATCATTGTGAGTGGTCTGCGATGTGACGGGGAAGCTGAAAAAATCATTCAGCCACTTTTCGCACTGTTCTGTTAGGTAGTTTTACTATGGGCAGACTGCATCTGTATGATTCAGGTGGGTGGCAGACATGCAGTTTGTGAATCAAATATGCTTGTGAAGTTCCGTCCATTTTATTTTTATTTCTCTAGATTTATACAAAGTCGCATTAAGGACATATCCAAAGTTGTACATACCTTAACAATTATTTGAAACCACAGCTTGCAGTTTCCCTTACCTTCAATACTGAGGTGTGGCCCATGGGGATGAAGACCTGTAGTTGCAGGCCGCACCCTTGTGATAAAAGTCTGCTCCACTTCATGCAAATTGGGTTTGGTCCTGGTGGCAGGTTGTCTGTGTTGTCCTTTGTTAAGTTAAGTTTAAGCACTGATGGAATAGCTAAAGCTTTATTCACTCAGAGTATGAGCGAGTTATTTATACTGGTGGGTGAAATTATAGGGATGAATTTGTGGAATCCTGTCATGGATACTGAGGAGAAAAACTGAGATAAATTAAAAACAAACAAACAAACAAAAAACCCCAGCAAATAAGAAAAAATAGGAGATGGGTGTTTCAGCTGTTCTGTCTCCAGGATGGTTCCAAGTCGGTCACATTGCGCTCAGCCTTAGAGGCTTCCAATACATCAGGTTTAATTTAGTTTGTTTCCATTTCAGAACCTCTTCCACTATCTCACAGACATTCAAGGGAGTGGGGTGGTGAAGATCCCTGATGCCAAAGGAGATGATGCCTGGAAGGTGTATTTTGATGAGACAGCCCAAGAGATAGTGGATGAATTTGCAATGCGTTATGGTATAGAAACAATATACCAGGCTATGACGTAAGTTACTCTCCTTGTGTTTCTCATACTGAACCCTTGCTGTAGTTAGTTTATTTAATCTCAAAGGGAAGCGTTCTAAATATGTTGGTTACTCAATATTTTTAGGATGGCTGGCATGGCCTGTGATTTCCCATCTGGCTCTGGTGGCTACTGTCCTTTAAGTTTATTGTGAATAGGAAAGGGCTGTCATGCTCTGAGTCATTAGCTTTCTCAAAGGCTAGAAATCAGTGGGTAAAGAAGGATCAGGATTGAGGGACTCAGTAAACCCACAGCTGGCTGATAGTCCTGCCCCTTGAATTTCAGATCTAAGCAGCCATATCCAGTGTTGTTGATGTAAATAAACAGGAGCTTGATTCCCAGAGGTAAACCATTGGTGTTGTACGACTCTGGGTCCTCCATTAATTGACCGCTGAGTTATTTAAAATGTGTCATCCCTACCCCCAAATAAAAATGTCTAGTGGGGATGAGGAAGAAGGGTATTTGTGACCCAAATTTAACACCAGTGCTCTTTCATGGTGATCAAAGAATCCTGTGTCAAGAACCAGAACAATCAGTTTTTAAGTAGTGGGATTTGACAAAGGTGATGACCTGGTTTGCTCTGTTTGAAACTAGACTAGTCCAATTCTTGGCTTCCTGGGGGCCTTTCCTAAACACAAAGCTCTGACTTGGGTTCCTGATGAACTCTGCTTCTTCCTGCAGACCACCAATTGTATTGCATTTGCTTTTTGTCTTCAGTGAAATATTGAATGAGGCACATTAGCTTGAAGAAACTCACCTTTGAAGTTGAAGTTTCAGTTCTGGGGCATCCTGAAGCCCTTGAACTGAATGTATTCCACAGATAGTTCTCCATGCAGATATCTTCATTTTCTGCCAGTCGAACGATTATAACCAAAGTGGAAAGGAATTACTGAAATTAGATCTGTGCTAGCCAGCCCCAGATGTTCTTTGCTCACATATAGCGTTTATGGGTTTCACCAGTTATGCTACATCTTTAAGAACTGCTAAAAAGTCCATCCCTTCACAAACCCTGATCGCAGCTTTCTGCCGGGAATTGAGCTTTTCAGTTTTTCAGAAGAATAAAAGTAGTTTGAGATCCTTCTTTCTTCCATAAACGTATCTGTGAAAGACACAGGTAGAGAGATGGTCCGTCTGTCTGTCTATATTTTTATAGTAGTAGTAGTTGTATAGTATAGTAGTAGTTGAGTGCCTGAACTACCAGTAGACCAGCAAGGTATCCACCATATCGAACTAATTCAATGGCATCTATTTATCTGAAACATTTGATTCTTAAATATTTTCATGTAAAGCCCTGTCAATTTATTTGGAAGGTGAGTAGCAGGGAAGCTAATGACTGTGTGTTGCCTTAGGAGGACACAGAGATTATGATCCGTTTCACGTTTAAAAGAATCTCTCTGGAATTTGTAGCAGAAGTTCTAACAAGTTTCTGACACATGGACGCTCTTCTCTTGTGTCATGTCTTATAATATTAGCCCTTTTTAAAGTACTGTTTTTCCTTATTTATACAGCTTTTCTTTGGTTGTTTACTTTAATCACTCCTCAAGACCAAATGCTGGTGGAATAATTTTAAGATTTCCTGTAAGAGATTTCCTTACACTTTAATGAGAGCAATTATATGAGAAAATGCAAATGAGACAACATACTTCCTGCAGGATGACAGGATTAGCCCTAAAGAATCAAAGCAGTGTCTGTACAGCACAAAGATACTGGTATGCAGATCCTTCTGCACTCAAGGCAGGGAGTGGATTGCAGTTCCTGCTGGCACGCCACTTAGGAAGTCACTGACTATTGGAAGGAGCAGTATGGTTTGCAGGTCTCCTTGTATCAGGCATTGTCTCAGAATCACTGTATCCTGGAGCAACAGCATAATCTCCGGATAGGACTTATCAATACATTGCCAAATTGAGAGGCTGTTATGTCACATTTCCAGGGCCATGCTAATAGCATTTATTTTGCTGTTACCAGCTGGTATCTTTGCAGCAAAGCCAAGTGTTGGACAATGGAGACTTGTCAAGAAGGTGAAATTCTGGATTACAGCTACAGCCCTCATTGATGTGGTACTTTTAGCAGGGTGTTGCTAATATTAATGGGGTGGAAATAGCTGAAAGAATCAACTCTATAGCTCTGCTTTTCCCCAAGGGCCAGAAATAACCTTGTAAACTATAGAGCATCTTTGCGTCTTCTCCATAACTGACCTTGCTTATGCTGTTCCAGGCACTTTGCATGTCTGTCCTCCAAGTACATGTGTCCAGGAGTGCCAGCTGTGATGAGCACCTTACTGGCCAATATCAATGCCTACTACGCGCACACTACTGCATCCACAAACGTGTCTGCTTCTGACCGCTTTGCAGCCTCAAACTTTGGGGTATGTTTCAGTGTTAACTGTCCTGCTATGCGACTGTTACAGTTTTACTTGCTTGGTTTGCTTATGGCTTTCACTGATGTTAAAGTGAATCACTAGTTCTGGTGAAGGAACATTATATCCTTGGATGGTGCAATGGGACTCTTCTGTATGAAGAATTAACACAATTGATGAGGACTTGTTCATCCTGTATCATGATTAGCTACTAATCAGTATAATGCATTATGATGCTTGCATTTCTGTGCTCCAATAACACCAGAGTACAAATGGTGTGGAAAGGAGCAAACTGTATTGAACACTGCATGGGACACTATAGATAATGTATACCGTGAGATATGATGGTTTCAGAACTTAAATTATCAGCTTCTTTAAAAGTCTGTCTCCAAACAGCTGCTGCGCTTGATGTTTGTGTATCTCAGGTTCTGCTCTCTTGTGGGGGAAACTCTATACTGATTTATTAAGACATGGATTGTACTGTCCAGTCCCCACTGCCCTCCCATTCAGTTGTTTTCCCTGTAATATGCAGTAGAGATTGGGCTTTTTAAAGTTGTCCGAATGGGGTTTGGGACAGGCCATGCTCTGTTAGGGGAGAGAGTACATCTGACTGAAGGGGAGATGGCTTCTGTGCCGAACCAGCACCCAGCCAGAGGTTGGGCCCCAACTAAGGTAGAGATTGGAGCTCGACAAAAAATTTTAAATGCATTTTTCAAGCACTGAAACGATCCACAATTTCGGGTCGACCTTCGTGGATCATTTTGGTCAACTCCCCCCCTGAAAACAAACATTTGTTTTGAATTGACATTTTGTTTTGAAAATGTTTCAAATGAAATGAAATGTTGGCAGTTTTTTGTTTGGCAAGAAAAAAACGAAAATCTAACTTACGAGAGCTAAGGCCCGTATCACTGGTTGGAACCCGTCTGGAAATAAGTCTCTCTTTTAAATGTGATCACTATGTACCTGCAACCATGCAGATCAATAGCTGGAATTCATACATCAGTTTCAATAAGTTTATTTGTGGTGTATTCTCTCTCTACTTGAATGGTACATATGTCTCCTTTAAGTGATGAAGGGGAAATTTCCTGACCCTTCTAATGTTATACTGGAATTACTGTTGCATCAAGTTTAGGAGTAAATTCAGAGATCTGAAGCAATTATTATCTTCCCTCCAAGTTTGCACAATAGAATAAATCCATATAGCTTCCTTCCACTCTTCTGTGATCCAGTTCTTGGGCAGCACTCTAGTTATTGGGAGTGTTGATTAGATCTAATTTTCTGTGATGGAGCATGAGGTTATTTACTATATTTTTTTTCTGACCAACAGAAAGAAAGGTTTGTTAAACTGCTGGACCAGCTGCACAATTCACTCCGTATTGACCTCTCCATGTATAGGGTAAGTGCCTATAAATGGCGTATTTTCAGGCTATCTTGTGTAGAGCATGGATTTTCTCCAGTGAATCTCCCTATTTTGGGCATTTTTGTGACATATGGAATCTCTGTCACCCACTAATTCTTCAGATTACACAATTAAACCATTCCCTTTCTTGCACGTTCGCCACCTCAAGCCCTTCGATCAGCACTTGGAAATAGTCTGAGGGTTGAGAACTGTGCTGACCTTTGCTACTCTCCCAACATACTGTCAGAATAAACTAGTCCCTTTGAGTTAAGTATCAGCAGTAACCCCAAGTAGGCTTTGAAGGACATACAGAGCAGCTCTTATTTTGTAGGTGTCACAACCTGGCCCAGTCTCTATTGGGAGTAGACCCAGCAACTTGGTCCTATGTGCTTCCAAGCCAACTGGGGCTGGCCAGAGTTTGGTCAGTGTTCCAGCTCTGGATCTGTAAGGGCACTCCCAGGTTCAGTCCCCTTGTCCGAGACCTTCCTTGGAACATGGGACTCTCCATTGAAGCCACCCCAGACCCTGGAACAAGTCCCTCAGACCACCCAAGCCCCTAGTTGCGTAGCTATGATCCATGAAAGCTCCACCTAGGTTGTGGGCACTCTGGTTTCTAGTTTAACCCCTTCAGGGAAACAAGGAACATAAGTTTAGCAAAGGGATTTCTTAATCACAGTCAATTTACTCTTAAAAGCACTAGAGTTAAAGATCTTTGAAAAATAACAAAATTCCCGAGATGCACCCATCCCTGTTAGCCTGATCTCATCCCGTCTGTGAGTCTGAGGTCTTGTCAGCATTTCAGACTAAGCAGATTCCCTCCTGCCTTCTCTGTCTCCATCCACCACTTTGTGTAGGTGGCAATGAATGGCCACCCTTTTAATACAGTCTCTCTCTCTCCTTTTGCCATGTGCTCAGCTGAAAAGCTTGTCTCTTCCTGCCAGCCTCTGTGTAGAAAATCCATTGTTCCCTGGAGTTTGGCCAGAAATTGAGATAATCAAAATTGTTGGCCCTAGATTGCTCTATGATTGCTTCTGCATGATAGTCCCTGAACAAGATGTCAACCACCTTTCCTGGGCAGAGTAGCCATTTGGGTTATATCAGAATAGATTTGCCTTGGGCAAGGGCTACTCATGTTCAGCACAACCAGAAAATGGACGTTACAATAGAAAATGGAGTTCATAATTCAATACAGAAATATCTCATTCTGTCATACTCTGCACTTAGCAGGGGAGGATACTGAGATTGAAATATACACAATCTATTATAATTTGGGATGAATATTCAGCCAGATCTTAACTGGTGCAGCATTTCTGACTTCACTATTCAACATATAGCATGTCTTTGTGGCTAATCTGCATTTGTTGCGTGTGTACATGGTGGGAAGGCTGGAAGGGCGTCTACAGCCAACGTTGTTTAAAAAAAGATCTTTTAAAAAAGCCTGTCTTTCTACCTCCCAGAAAAGCTGATTTCCAGTAATGTCCCGTGGTGCTTGGGGGTTGAATTGTAGTCTTTGTGTTCTGAGTGGAGAGAAATCTTTTGACAGCCACCCTGCGTGCACACAAGACACATTCTAATTCTGTTAGAAGTACCACTGGGAAGCATATAATTATAAATAGTAGAATGATACTCTTTATGATTGGGAGGGAAAAGTTAATCCTTGGATGAGATGTTAGTTCATTCTGCCAAAAATAGTAGTATAGTGTGAGCGCTGTGGTAAAATGTAATTAGATCTAATTTGTAATGTCGAGAGTTGATTGCATAAATGGATTCCTGATTGATTTTTCTTACAGAACAGCTGATGTTTTTTCAAGGATAGCTCTGACATAAGTCATCCTCTGACAATTAGGTGTTTTGGAGCATGTTATGTTGGCATGTATGTTATTTAATACAAGCCAGTTATTGCTTGCTGTTTGTCTAACTCTTGCTTACTAGCTTACGTAAGGCAGAAGAAAATGAGGCTAGTTTTGAGAGTGTCCTGTTTAAAAATCTTTGCCAGATGTTTTGAGCCATGAGTACCTCTTCAGTTCACAACACTAACCCAATGATTGTAACTAAATCTTGTCTTGTAGAAATTTTTGTTACTGGTGAGTCCTCCAAGCACATGTTAGCTTGAAAAGGGGGTTGTCTTCATAGGCTTATTCTTCTTAGCTGTTTATGCAGATCACGTTGAATCCTACCAACTTAAATTAGCTACTTTGAATTAATACCTGAGTGCCCCAGCTAGTGCCAGGAGATGGCAGATAGGATCTCTCTGCAACTCCTCTGTTGTAATTATTTTGACAATCAATGCAGATATCAATAAGGTGTCTGGATGAGGTTGACTTTGCAGCAAAACCAATGAATGCATTATAAAGGATATTTCCGTCCACTCTTCTGTTGCAACTGCATCCCACCCGCCCTCTCAAGCATGTTCAGGGCTCGTCTACATGAACCTTCAGTTCATGGCAAACTGGAGTGTAAATTTACTCCACATTACTCTGCCGCACACTACGAGTCCATGGGGACCCTGCTGCCACGCATGTAGAGTTGTTCTTCAAGTGCTGGTCCCTATTTGTACTCCACTGTGGGGTGCAGGTGCTCTCTAGGCATCTGAGACCAGAAGATTTTTGCTATTAGTGTCCTCTAGTCTGTGCCTGTGCAGTTCTCCATGTGCTATACACCAGGGGTATAAAGTAGCAGTGTGGACTGACCGCCTTTCCAATTTCCTTCTACTACCTATGGTGTGTTGGAAAGCTCCAGTGTCCAGCAAACTTGCTTCCTTCCTAATTACCTGAAAATAGTGATAGAATAGTTGATAGATGAGTAGTTGAGTTAGTATAGTTAGTGGGACTCTTCTCTCTCCCCCTCCTCCCACCCTCCTGTCTGTACTCTTCGAGGTGATTATTATGCCCAGTGTAATGGGATGTTCACCCCACATTACCCGAAAACGAAAAGCCTTCTCAAGCAGTTGGCTTAAGGTCAGGCTCCAGCCCAGAACTAGATATGCTGTCAGGGGAAGGCAGGGAAGCATGCTCTGTTGCTGCTTATTCTGTACTTGTTCTGTGGGTAGATAAAGGCCTTCTGGCCTGAAATGGAACCAGATCACTGGCATGTAAAATGAAAAAGGTTGTAGAGGAGTTTTTAAACTAAGGGCTGGGGGAAAGCCGACAGGTGTGGAGGAGCACATGGTTCAGATGGAGACATCCCTTAGGGGAGGATTTATTAAAGTGGCTCTTCTATATATAAAGAAGAGAGGATAGAAGTTGATAAAGTACAGGTAGGAGCTGAAGAGAAACAGTCAAATGAAAGAGTCCCAGTCAGTTACAACACATGAAGCCAGAGCACTAAATATTGACAACGTTTATAAGTTCTGCTATATAAATGCAAGAAATCTAAATACTAAGATGGGTGAACTTGAGTGCCTGGTGAGGATATTGATATAATAGGCATCACAGAAAATTGGTGGACTGATAACAATCAATAGGACACGGTAATACCAGGGCACAAAATATTCAGGAATGATAGAGTAGGTTGTACTGGTGAGGGTGTGGCACCGTATGTGAAAGAAAGCATAGAGTCCAGTATAGTAAAAATCTTAAATGACTCAAACTGTACCATAGAGACTCTAGGGATAGAAATTCCATGCATGAGTATAGCAGTAGGAATATACTACCGATCACCTCACCGTGATGGTGATTCTGAAATACTGAGGGAGATTAGAGAGACTAGAAAACCCAATAATAATGGGGGATTTCAACTATCCCCATATTGACTGGGAAGATGTCATCTCAGGATCGGTTGCAGAGATAAAATTTCTAGACACCATTCATGACCGCTTCTTGAAGCAGCTAGTCCTGGAACCCATAAGGAGAGAGACAATTCTTGATTTAGTCCTAAATGGAGCAGAATCTGGTCCAAGGAGGTGAATAGAGCTGAACTGCTTGGTAATAGCGACCGTAATGTAATTAAATTTAACATCCTCATAGGGGGGAGGAAATACCAAAGAAACCCACCACAGTAGCATCAAACTTCAAAAAGGGCAACTACACAAAAATGAGGAGGCAGGCAAAATGGAAATTCAAAGAAAGTCACAAGCTGCATGGAAACTTTTTAAATACATCATAATAGAGGCTTAAACTAAATGTATACACTAAATAAAAAATACTTTGACGGGGGTCAAAAAAAAAATTTCACTATTGCTAAACAGAGTAAAAGAGAAGGTTAGAGACAAAAAGACATCCTTTAAAAACTGGAAGTCAAATACTACTGAGGAAAATAGAAGGGAGTACAAAATCTGGCAAGTCAAATGTAAAAGTATAATTAGGCAAATCAAAAAAGAATTTAAATAGAAATTAATAAAAGACACTAAAACCAACATCAAAAATAAATTTAAGTGCATTAGAAGCTGGAAGCCTGCCAAACACCCAGAGGGGCCATTGGATAGTGGAGGTGCTATAGGAGCATTCAAGGAAGACAAGGCCATTGTGGAAAAGCTAAATTAATTTTTTGCATTGGTCTTCACTGCAGAGGATGTGAGGGAGATTCCTACACCTGAGCAATTCTTTTTAGGTGAAAAATCTGAGGAACTATCCGAAATTGAGGTGTCAGTAGAGGAGATTTTGGAACAAATTGATAAATTACACAGTAATAAGTCACCATGATCAGCGGATATTCACCCAAGGATTCTGAAGGAACTCAAATATGAAATTTGCAGAACTTCTAACTGTGGTACCTATCGATTAAATCAGCCTCTGTACTAGATTACTGGAGGATCGCTAACACCAATTTTTAAAAAAGGCTCCAGAGGCGATCCTTGATTGAAACTTTAATAAAGAAGAGACTCCTACAAGGATCTCTACTGGGACCAGTGCTGTTCAACATATTCATAAATGATCTGGAAAAAGTGGGTAAACAGTGAAGTGGCAAAATTTGCAGATAGTTAAATCCAAAGCACACTGTGAAGAGTTACAGCGGGATCTCACAAAACTGGGTGACTGGGCAATAAAATGGCAGATGAAATTCAGTGTCAATAAATGCAAAGTAATACACATTGGAAAAACACAATCCCAACTATACATACAAAATGATGGGGTCTAAATTAGCTGTTACCACTCAAGAAAGATCTTGGAGTCGTCATAGATTGAGCAGATGTTTTCAGAGAACTATGTGCAGTGGCAGTCAAAAAAGCTAACAGATTGCTAGGAACCATTTGAAAACGGATAGATATTAATACAGAAAATATGATAATGATGCTATATAAATCCATGGTACACCCACACCTGGAATGCAGCATGCAGTTCTGGTCATCCTATCTCAAAAAAGATATATTAGAGTTGGAAAAAGTACAGAGAAGGGCAACAAAAATGATTAAGGTTATAGAACAGTTTCCATATGAGGAAAGACTCAAAAAACTGGAACTGTTCATCTTAGAAAAGTCATCACCCCTTCACATAACACAAGACCAGTGGTCATCCAATGAAATTGGGATGCAGCAGGCTGAAAGCAAACATAAGAAAGTACTTCACGCAATGCAGTCAATCTATGGAACTTGTTGCCAGGGGATGTTGTGAAGGCCAAAACTATAACTGGGTTCAAAAAATAACTAGATAAGTTCATGGAAGATGAGTCCAACAATGACTATTAGCCAAGATGATCAGGAACACAACCCTGTTCTTTGGGCTTCCCTAAGTGTCTCACTTCCAGAAGCTGTGACTGGATGACAGGGGATGGATCACTCGATAATGGCCCTGTTCTGTTCAATCCCTGTGAAGCATCTAGCACCAGCCACTATCGGAAGTCGAGATACTGGGCTGGATGGACCATTGGTCTGACTCAGTATGGCCATTCTTATGACTATCAGTCTGCCACCGTTCATGAACACTAAATTCACATGAACTTTTTAATTAAACAGATGAACTCTTGTAGTGAAAAGGTCTTACCTTGTTCAATGTGAAGCCTTTTATTTTTCTGAGCATTGTTTTGAGTGCTAGAAGCTCCTGAGCTGTATACATTTCCAAGGGTTTTTAACATGTTTATTTTGAATGGGCTTGTGAGTTTGTGTGGACGTCTGATTGCTCTTTCAGGTGTGGTTTCACTTTTATGCCAACAGAACAATTTCCCAGCCAGCAGCCCTGAGCGGTTACAGGACTTGAAATCCACCGTGGACTTGCTGACCAGCATCACGTTTTTCAGAATGAAGGTAAGGATCCACCACAGTGATAATATTCCAGTGTGTGTGTCATTGTCTTATACTATTCAGAGAAAAGCCTGCTTACGGCAATGAAGAACTAACCCATCATTCTCAAAAGCCAAACACTTTTCAGCATGGAAATGACTAGTCACAGACAACAGCAATCTTATGCTGCCCACATAATAAACGTATACATTCTTATCAGTGTGTCACAACTTAATACTCTGATGCAAAATAAATACTATTCATCAACAGGAATCACAACATCCTTCTGACAAAGAAGGATACAATTTGTCTGTACCCAGGTAGGATATGTAATTTTACCATTTATTGACTGTTATAAACTTCTCCTGTAAAACTACATTTCCAGCCTTATCAATAAACAACAATTAAGTCTGTACAAAAACTTCTATGGTCTGATAAATATATTAAGCAATATTATTTCTCATTTAATTGTATCTCTTAAAAGGAAATGAATACTGAAATTAAGAGAACCCAAATAATTAATTGATTAATAAAGAGCCGTGGCTCATAGTTAAGGTTGTTGTGCAATAATGAAATATGCCTTTTTTGTGCTTATATTTGTTTTTTATGAGGGCAGTGTAAGATTTGATATCTTTAATTATCCATTGCCTTGTTTTTAAATGCTTGGTTTCTGTAGATGATGTGATGGATGAGAACACTGTCACTTAGCCACCTTCACCTTATTTTTTTTACAAAATGAGTTTTCACTCATGGCATTTGAAAATGTCCTTTATCGAGTCTGACTGTAAGTTCTTCAGGCAAGGAATGGTTTTTATCTGTTATGAAAAAGCAGCAGATAAACTAACTAAATGTCTTCTTATAGTATGTGCTGCATTTTGAAAGTCCCCATAATCCATACAATATTTATGTAAAATGTTAACGTTGTTCCCAAACTCTGCTTTCTACTTAGAATGGTTAGAAATTAAATTTTTTTTTTAAAAAGCTGGAACAAATGTAAAACCAAATTTGTTCCAGGACATGGTCTTATCCCAGATCTGATGCATGCAAAGCCTTTTAGAATAGATGTGCATTGTGAGTGTGAGGTAGAATAATAACTATATAAAGGAAAAGAATGAGGGCTGCAAGAGGGAAAAATCTCTACACATCTGCACACTATTATTAATGGCTCTAATCCACGTTTTAAAGTTGTTAGCAAAGAGGTCAAGTAAATTCCTGAATTAAAAAGCACCATTGTGAATTTTAAAAAATAACATGAGACGTTCTAGGAACTCTTGGCTGATCAAATGTCACGAGCTCTGATGGAGTCTTTCTCTGGACTGTCTTTTACAGTGGGAGAGACTTTGATGTTTGTGTCCTGATTTCATGAAGAAGTCCCTTGAACCTCATATAGCAGTACTGTGTGTCTTGCACTTCTAACCTATGTTTCTAGATACAGCTATCGAGTTTAACTCTTTATCTGGCCCCCATGACCGTAATATCTGAGTGCCTCACAATCCTGAATGCTCACAACACCCCGTGAGGTAGGGCTGGGCTGTTATCCCTGTTTTGCAGTTGAGGAACTGAGGCTCAGAGACACTAAGTGACTGTTCAGGTTCACAGGACACTGGGGCAGCACAGGGAATTGAACCAGTCTCTCTCAAGTCCTGGATTAATGCCCTCTTCCTCTTATGATGCATGAGCAGTATCTCTTTAACTTTACTCCTGCTTCCTGCCAGGTTCAAGAACTACAGAGCCCACCTCGAGCCAGCCAAGTAGTGAAGGACTGTGTGAAGGCCTGTCTCAACTCAACCTATGAATACATCTTCAACAATTGCCATGAACTGTATAGTCGCGAGTACCAGACAGATCCCGTGAGTAATTGGATAGATGTGCAAAAATCAAGGCTGAGTGGCTTGAGATAATGTAGTAAATAATATCCGAAGATAAACCAGCATAGACTAAATTTTGTGGCCTGTGAGCTTCTGAATGCACATCAGCTGCAGCCAATTGATGAGCATTAATTGCGGTGAATGAAAGAGGATAATTGTTTTACTGTCACTAATTGCTTAGAGATCATTTTCAAAAGCCACAAATGTTTTATTCCATGGTTAGAGCAGACTATTGAAAGAGTAGATTTTATATAATATTTATTCAGCAACAGCTAATTAGAACGCATACTAAGCTAACAGAAGAAATAGGGTTTAAAATACATGACTCTCCAGGCAGAGTTCTACCTTGTTTTACTGAATCTAGTTTACCCCTTGCGGATCATGTGTGGTGGTTGGGGCAACTCTACACTATAGCGTCATTGATCAAAATTGTTCCATTTGCCATAATGTCAGAGTTTGGTAATGTGCAGATGGCATGAAGTGATGCATTGCTTGTCGTTGTGGATATATTAGTAAATATCAGTGATCCAATTAGAAGTGATTAGAAATAGTTTAGGCAAGAAAGCACATCATGAGATATCCATAAGCATGTCCCTGGTCCCAATGCAGTAAAGAATAAAGAAGTGGCCATTTTAATCCCAGAGTTGTGCCAGGCTACCCTTTTAGCAGCATAGTCTGCATTTTATGATATTTTGTGTTAGATCAGGTCACTTGCCAAGACAGAGCCATAATTATGGAACCTTCAGAAGAAAGTGGCAAAGGATACAGCATGTGCAGTTCACAGGAAACCTGCAGGCCTGATAAGAAGTCATATTTGTTTAAACTCAGTATTTAGTTTCTCACGGCTTCCTTTCCAGAACAAAAATCAGGACCTTCCTCCTGAGGAGCAAGGCCCCAGCATCAGGAACTTGGATTTCTGGCCTAAACTCATCACTCTGATAGTTTCCATTATAGAAGAGGATAAAAATTCATATACCCCTGTCCTGAACCAGTAAGAATCCTCCATGTTCTTTATGGCTAATGCTAGAAGTAGACTCTTTGTCTGTTCTGCTTTATTTGTGAAACTGTCTTCTATCTTTTCTGTGATTTGTGTATTTATAGAGAATACTTATCTTGTCTGTCTGTCTTTCTGTCTTATTTGTCTATATAATAATTCTTTTTGATTGGGATGGAAGAGTTTCAAAAGGTTCAGTTTTGATGGAGTTCGAACCCATTCACCTTGGTTATTACAATCCTGAACTCAGTGAGACACCTGAAAATGGGGTGAGAGTTGTTTTTTCTTGTACAGTTTTCTGGGAAGCACTTTTCTAACATACACAGTTTGTGCTGTGATTTAGGTGTGTCCATGTTCTATGCTGAACTGAGAGAGTTCAGTGGGTGGGGATGGCTTTGTTAATGGCAAAAGGAGCCACTTCTACTCCTTGGGGAGTAAGATGTCAGATGCTCTTTATTCCGATGTCTCCAGCAACCCACCATGTATCCTGAAGACAAAGGGGCAGATTACGCATTAGGGATTTTAGATCTTAACATTGCAGGCGCACCTGATACACACTAATCCCAACAGTGAAAAGGAACAGTGGTTTTGTAAGGGGAAAAGAAAAAAGGTATAAGAGGGATAAACATTTTGACGTAATACTACAGAATTACAGTATGTAGCTACTTTTAGAGAACAGCCATGCAATAGCTAGTCTTTTAGATTAAAAACATAGTTACAGTAGCAGGGATATTTTCGATCTGTTTCATCTATAGCACAGAGTCCAGTTGGTACTTTTCAGATATCTGCCTTTTATCTTCGCAGGATGAAGGAAATTTCTGTTGTGTTGAACCTTTCAGTAGATCGTTTAGCTCAGAGCTGAATGAAAATGCCCCTTATTCTTAAGCTATTAAAGCCTTATCTCTGGATTTCCCCCATTCAGGTTTCCTCAGGAGCTCACTGTTGGGAAGGTCAGTGCTGAAGTCATGTGGAACCTTTTTGCCCAGGATATGAAATATGCCATGGAAGGTAGGAGAGCGTAAGCTGTAAGCTCTTGCCCTGTGATTGCTAACTTTTTGTTCCTAGTCGATACCATGTGAATAGTACTTAAGGAAAAGTCTGACCTGGTGATGGTTTTGTATAACTGTCTCAAGTAGTTTTCCAGTGCACATCAGAAATGCTGTTTACATGCCAGTAGGAAGTGGAAAACTTGACCACACAGCATTTTAATCCCTAGGAAGCTTCAGTCATCAAAATCTACAAACTGCAATCAAAAAAATAAATGGAAAGTGACGGTTAGCTTTCCAATGCAAGTTGTAGGCAATGCAGCAGGATTATCCTATTTCCTCTGCATTTGGCTGCTCACTTGACACCTTGCTGGACAGAGTTGCTTGGAGCGGAACTTGAAAACTAATTGTTTTTAAATTTCCATTAATTATCTGAAATATTTGCAATGGAAACTACAGAAATGAAAACTGCACCGTGGTGGTGTCTTAGTATAGGGTGAGGTTCTGCAGTGAGCAGCAGAAGTTCTTGAGAGGTTTCCCACATCTGGGAAATCCCTGCGTGTGCTGCATTCTCTCTGTGAACACTATCTCCTCTGTGGTAACTCACAGCACAAGATTCCCAGACTTCACCCAGTAGCCTGAGAAGGGCTACGCCTTATATATAAAATTGAACAGACTTCCGCCATCCTCACCTGGAATATGATGGAGCCACAGCTTGTAGTGTGTGCTGATCCCAGCACACCATGGTCCACCTTGACTCAAGCAGGCTGGTGGTGAAATCTACTTCTGGTATGAATAGGAAGGTTCTGCCATTCCGGCTTCGAGAACTTCAGCACAAGTCTCTTTCCCCCTGTGAGTTAAGTGATGCAAATGCAGGCAGGCAGGTTATCCTTTTCAAACCTCTCACTGTGAAGGCAGCTAAGTGTAAGAAACATCTAAGAGGCTTTTGGTGGGCTCCTAGGAATCTGGTCTCCATCTTCCAATAGTCAAGGCAGACTCATCCTTAGGAGTTTTAGCATCTCCAGAAATGGGGGTTATGCACACAGAGGCCAGATCGCTCCCAGAGCAGAGTCCTGTTACTTCCAGCACTCCTTTTATTCTTAAAGGTTTAATAGATTACTGAATTTACCTTCTATAATCTTTGAGCCCAATCTTGCCAGATGTAGAGTGCGTTCAACTTCCATTGCCTTATGCGCCTGCATTGGGAGTAAAGTTTGCTCAGCATCTTACAGGGCCAGGTCGTTAGTGTCTTTATTCAGGGGCTACTGTTATAAAACAGAAGATGCCTATGCCATCTGCATCTGACAATCCATGTATGCTGTATTTATTGTTCCAACACCACCTATGTCACCTCCTGCATGGTCTTCCCAGAACCGATCTGTATAACTGTTCTCTTCCCCATCAAATCCCTCCTCAAGACTCACCATTGCTTTGATGCCTATAGAAGAAGTGTTCTAGCTCAACCATAAATTATGGGCTGGATGCAAAGACTGCTGGGTGAGATGATGCAGGAAGTCAGATTTGATGGTCACAGTAATCCCTTCTGACCTTAAAATCGGTGGAGAAATCAGCTGATGAATGACGACTGGATTGGGGAGCAGACAGAGACAGCTGACATTTAGCTATTCATGATAAAATTTAAAATGTTTTAATCTGTAAATCAAATGCATATCTGGTATGTCTGTGACATGTCTCTGGTCTATATTTCTCTCCTAAGTCACTGATCATCGTAGATTGGAAGCTCTCAGAGATGTTAAGGGCAGAGCCAGGTTCCCAACAACTCCTATCACTTTTTTCTCCACAACATTTTGAAATTCTGGTCCTTCCATTCCATCCTGATGGCTTACATTTCCCTCCCCCCCCCCCACTGGTCACTTCCCACTTCGACCGCTGGAACCTCCCCCTCCTCTCTGCCCTCCCATAATCATTCCTCTTCAAGACATCCAAAGTGAAGCTACTAAAAATTGTATTTATTATTAAATTATTCTCCCTGTTGATCTGACTGAATCTCTCCATTGGATTGTCAGTGCCATGCATAACTCTGCCTCCTGGTTCTTCTCCGAATACTTTGTCCCTCTTTAGTCCTTTCACTCTGCCAGTGACCCACTCCCTCTTGATGCATCTTCCATGCTGTCTCACAGGTGGAATGCCCTCCCAGTCGCTTCTGGTACAAATCCTACCTACAGGCCCACTTCTTCTGTAAGGCCCACAACACGAACGCAGTAATGCCTCCTCAACCACAATAATACATTGGAGGAGAAGAGGATGAAATGATTGTAATATTATTAAACAGCCTAGGCTCGCACGCCCTCTGGGTTTTGCTAGTGCATCTGTTGTATTAACTTAGATGGAAGAAAGGGCCGAAAGTGTTAACATAACCCAGTCACTGTCCAACATTAAACAGTGTTAAGCAAGGTCTGGGGCTTGGCATACAGAGACCTCAGCCCACTGAGTGCCATGGCAGACACACCATTAAACATCCTCTTAGCTTTTTATTAAAGATAAAGAAAAGAAGGAAAAACAGTTAAATCATTTGAAATGTGTAGAATCATAGAACTGGAAGGGACCTTAGGAGGTCATCTAGTCCAGTCCCCTGCACTCAGGGCAGGACTAAGTATTATCTAAACCATTCCTGACAGGTGTTTGTCTAACCTGCTCTTAAAAAGTATAGTATTAAGTAAGGCTTTCATTTTCACAGCATCCCTTGCTCCCTTTCCCTTTAGCTGGAGGGAGTTTTAGAAGGAAAAAACCCTTGCATGACAGTCTCCTTAGATGGTATCAAAGATGGTGATAACTGTCTCTTTGGGGAAAAGAGAAGAAGTTAGTTAAGACGGGCTGGAGCTGCTGCTGTTAAAGTTCAATCCTGTTTCCTGCTGGTGGTGGTTGGGATTCTGCTGGTGCTGGTAGGGGTGATGATGTTGTCTGGGTCCCTCTGTCATTAGCTGGGTCAAGTCAGGATGAGGGTGATAAAGGCCTGGGGTCCTAGGAAGCGGTGGGAGTGGCAGCCATGATAATGAAGCTCGCACCTGTAGCCTCTGTCTGTTCTTCCTCTGCCTCACCCCCAAGTCTCTTTCTTTAAAGACCCACAAAGGGAATGGTGTGTGGAATAGCCCATCCCCTCATCATTTTGTCCACGAATTAGACCTCGTATCTGACATACCAGTTTTGGTTTATTAATTTCCGGTTCCACATCTTCTGTTTTCATGAAGCACGATTTTAACATCCTCATTGAACCATATCGCTAGTCCCGTTTGTTTAGGCTTCGTTTTTTGTCTCTCTCCCCATAGCATTTTCCATCAGTATTTGCTGTTTCAGGTTATTGTGACCTATTATGAACTGTCATATACTTTTAATGATTGAGCTCACGATTAGAGTAAATTTGCTGGTCCAGTTATCACAACGCATCCTGGAACCTGTCTCAATATCTTCTCAGTTGTAAGTTTCTCCGGGTGAGAACTGGTTTGCAATTGTGTCTTGTACACTGCCTAGCACACTGGTGCAGAAAAAATAACGGTAAGGGGTACACACATGCAGAGCACCCCTTTTATAGGGTGGTCTTCGGTGTGGCCTGTGGTTGGTACAGGAGAAGTTAGTGGGCTGAGATTTTATAGTGAGGAGCTAAAGGAAGGCTGACGAACAACAGGGGGTAGTTCTGTATAATTGCACCTTGTCCATGCATATGGTGCAGTAGACCTGAAAACTTGTAACATGCATTAGCCCTCTTCTGAATGTGGCTTTGAAAGATCCTGCCTTGTGGAGATTCTAGTTTTCTAAGTAAGTGTTACTCTGAATGCTCTTTAATTTGCCTTCTACAAGCCTACAACAATTGTAATCAAAACTGGCTTTAAACTAAATTCAGTTCTTATAGTTCTTGTTGCCTTTATTTTAAATTCAAATGTTCAAATTAGCTCATAGCGTTCAATGAAAAATGCAAATTTAAATTAAAAATAAACTTATGTAAAGCGCGAAGAGCAGATTTTATCAGTCTCAATCACTGGATTTTGAACTCCCGAGCATTGTCAGTATCTGTTGTTATCCTCATTCAGTCCTCTTGGTGTAATCAGTCTGTCCCAGGGCAGTGCACATTCAATGCGATAGAGCAGGAGGGCCCATCTATGTATTCTGTGGAAGATAGAGTTGTGTGTGTGTCTCCTTCCAAAGTACAATACATGCTCCTAACTGTTGTCATGATGTTTTTCCTTGTGTGTCTGTTCCTAAGTTCTGGATAAAATGAGCTTACTCAACTCACCACGTGGTAAGTTCCTGCCCTTCGATAGAGTTTATAATTGTGAGTAGGTAAAGAGATTTTCCTCCCCTACCAAAAGCATCCTTTGATACAGTCTACAGAGCTTTAGCATATTAAACTCTTGCGCTACCTAAACCTGATCTACCACGAGGGTTCAGCAAATTAACTGATGCTGTGGGAGCTGGAGACGGCTGTTCAAGAGACTTTTTTTGCCAACTAACTTAAAATGTTGGTTGGTAGCGATGTCTCACATGCCAAATAATTCTAGGTGGAATCCCCCAGTCAGGGCCCAGGAAGCAGCTAAAATAGATGAGATCCACTGAGGAAGAACTTTACTTTCTGCTGCTTTCTAAGAGCACCTAGAAGCTCCAGCTCCTGCACAGTGCTGCTGCCTCCTGTGTCCTAAGTGATACCGGTTGCCATGGTGACCCTGGATCCCCTTTGCTCAGCACTGGCTTTACCTTTGCTGCCAGCTATAATGCCAAGTGATGGTTTCAGTGGAGAAATAGTTTGGGACGTGACTACTTGGAACTGACTCTGTCCCACCTACCATCTCGATAATCAAGGGATGTTTCTGCTGCTGCTTCCTACGATGAAGCTTTCTAGAAGCAACAGCAGAACGTTCTGACTTGGAGTCTCACCTGTGGCATTCATTTTCCTTTGTCAGTGAACCAGAGCCAGGGTTTGGCCTGAGTATCTGTCTATCATAGGTACGTTATGTGGCCCCTGTTACAGTAGAATCGAAGTGCTGCACAGCCGTTGACATAGTTATCCTC